ATAGATAGATAGATAGATAGATAGATAGATAGATAGATAGATAGATACATACATACATAAATAGATACATAAATAGATACATAAATAGATACATAAATAGATACATAAATAGATACATAAATAGATACATAAATAGATACATAGATAATTTTGCACTATATTTAACATATTTAATTGTATAGCTTTCTCTATTGTTTATATAAGATAATCATTGTAAGCATTTTTGTTGATCATATATACCTTCAGCTTAACTCAACAAGTTTATATTAAATTATTTTTCTGGTGTTCATATAATTGCTTGAAGGACTTCATAGGCTAGCTTCTAAATTTTGACATTGTTGGCATAGTTTAAAGATGGACATGCCAGCAATTTCCATAAGTTTATAATAATGAAGCAGTAGGAATCCACTGAATCTTTTTTCATTCAAATACTAGAGGTTTCTGAGATGAAAGTGGATAAGTTAGTATTTCTTATAAAAGTAAAGGGGATTATCCACAATGGACAGCACTTTAGGAATTGCTGAAAAGATTATTTTTTATTTTCAGAAATAATTACCCTGAGACCTCATTTTATCTTTGTTGCTTCCCATTATTCATGTCTCTTTAAGTGTCACAATAATGCTTGTTAATCCCACAGGAATGCGGTTTTGGATATGGCGAGGATGCCCAGTGCATGACGTGCAGGCCAAACCGATTCAAAGAGGACTGGGGCTTTCAAAAATGCAAACAATGTTTGGACTGTGCTTCAGTAAATCGATTTCAGAAAAGCAATTGTTCTGCCATTAGCAATGCTGTTTGTGGAGACTGCTTGCCTGGGTAAGTTATAGAAGGAATTATGAAGGACTGTAAATAACCGTATTCTCAGTTTTGGCTGGCTCTGCTACAGTTGTCAAATTGCTTCTGTATACTGCAGTGAAAACTTGCTTTCATGGTTTAAACTGAGAAGAGGGAATGTCTATTGCTTCCAAATGTCTATTCAATATTATAAATATTTACAATATTAATAGTAAATGCATTTATTTTTATTAAAGAAATGATGCAGTTTACATCATTACACAGTTTTAATTATACAACTGATGTTAATTGATATGTAAAATTGTCCACTGGGTATTAAGTCTATTACATCAAAGTCAGTCTGCTAAATTGAGATTTTCCTTCTACCATGTCTTCCAGATGTAATAGGTGATTATATATTGAAGCCTCGCTCTTAGGGTACTCTAATGAAAAGTCATCTCACAATAGCAGAACTTCCTTTTCTTCAGAATTCCATTATGCAGTGCATATTGTTCAGATATGTGTAAAGGAGACATAAAGGTACCATATTTTAGGTGGAAATGTGGAGATCTTAAAAATGGCCAAAGAAGAGTTGCTCACATAGCCCTCCCCATCCCTGACCTCCCAGTGATGGGTTGGAAATCTGGGGGTGGGGGTGTTAATTTATGTTGGTTTTAGTGTACCTATACTTCTCAATATGATCCAAGATCCTAATAAATTAATTTTGCAGATCACATGAAAAATTGCATTAGCATCAAGCAAATGCAAGTGAATTCCCCATCAGATTTCCAATTGGACAGATGGAAGTAAAGGACAAAGTAGAAGTATGTGACAACAAGCTACAGTAAAACAAATGATGACGAAACAAAAGTTTCACCAAATTCACCTCTGGATTTAGACCAAAGCCTTGAACTTGTAGGATTCCTGGGATCAGTGAGCCTAGAAACCCATTTTTTGTTTTTCCCAGAATGCACCAGATTGCACTGCTGGATTTCACTGTTACGACTGCCAAAATTTGGCACATTGTTTCCTGCCATGTTAGTTAGTTCTGTATAGTACTGTTCACCATTTTAAAAACAATCTTCCTAAAACTTAGGAAAAAGGATAATCTTACCCATGCTTATGCATTTGATATGAATCTGCCCATTTTTCATCATTGCTGTGCTCACCGCTGCCCTCGTCTTTCGGTCCAATAAAGCATTAAACGGGTGTCCTAGCCCATCAGAAGAGTGTCACTGCCTGAACCTCTTGCTTAATCTCGACTTATATGATCCTATATTATTTCAATATCTTTTTATGGATTTTTATTAGCATAATTCTGAAATGAGCTGGTTGTTTGTTTTTTTCAGATATGAGAAATGTGATATTTTTCTTCTGTCTTCCAGATTTTATAGAAAGACAAAGCTTGGAGGCTTTCAGGATATGGAATGTATCCCTTGTGGTGATCCACCTCCTCCTTATGAACCACACTGTAAGTGCTTCTGATATTGAAATATTAGGACATTCATAATGTAAACTGTGTTTTCCTGATTTACTGTGACAACCTGGAAGCCCTAGATTGCTATCACTAAGCAGTGCGGTCACATGATGTCACACTTTACCATCACATCAGTCCCAGTCCCCAGTCGACGTTATAGCTGCAGGACCACCTGTATGTCTGTAATTATTCCCTGGAGAGCTACAAAGAGTGAAATGAGTGGGTTTAAGGGGATTTGTGAAGCCCCCTTAAAAAAACCAGAGCTCCCTCTATTCGTATTATAAATACTACTTGCTAGAAGAAAAGCACAAGGCTGCCACAAGACCAGCAATTTCTGCAATAGAGCTGAGCCTTGCATCATATCAGCCAGGCTCCTCTGCAACCCCCACCCCCAAATGGTAAGGTAGGTACTGCTTGGCCCTGGGTGAGAAGCAGGCTGAGTCCCGCCCATTCCCTGGGTAGCCAGATAGCTGTAAATGCCCTCCATGTGCCAGTCCCTTCTGTTCCTTTGCCTGGCTGCATGGCCAGCTTGAGAGCAGGATAAGGCCTGGGGAACCCCGAGGGACAGGGTGGGATAAGCCTTGGGAGACCTGGGACAGGCTGGCCTGGGCCTGCACTATCCCTTTAAGGGTCTGTCCCAACCCTGAGGCACCAGGTGCTCCACTTAATGACCTGCACATTAATGGCAGGCTCCATTACGGGATAAATAGAGGGTTACTGTAACAGCTGATAGGAATGGTGGGTTGCATAGTAAAGCAAGAGGAGACAGGTACTCAGTTTTTGCAGTGGAAGGTGAAAGTTCCTTCCTATTGTTCCATATAATCTCTCTCATGAACTGTTCAGCTCTCACAGTCAGCTAAGGTCATTGCTAATGCACTGTGCAATCTCTCATGCATGTCTTATTTGGAACAGCTGACATGCACCTAGAGGGCTCTCCAGTGTGGTGGGACAGCTCTCTATTGCACCAGGCATTGTTCCCTGTGCATCTGTCTTCTACAATAGGTGAGGTGTTTGCATGGTATGGCAGATGTTAAGTCATACTATTCTTAAGCATAATGTAGTACCGTTACTATATCTGACATTTAGTAGCCTGACTAATAGATGATAGATACAGGAAGTACATGCAACAAGTACCTCCTTCTTTATGGAAAATGAAGGAAGCAAAATTAATGGAATCTACCCGTGTCTTCATTTAAAATCGGGGACCCCAACTCTCAGGGCATGGCTCACTGGGCCATGGCCCATTCAGAACTGGACAGCACAAGTGATGGGCGAGTGCACAAAGCTCCATTTGTGTTTCGGAATGAGCCGCACAAGTGGCAGACAAGCACATGAAGCTCCATTTGTGCTTTGGAAGCGAACCGCACAAACGGTGGCTGAGTGCACCTGTATGTGTGCAGTTCCATTTGTGCGAGCTGCAGGTGCTCTGGCTCATGCACGAAGCTCCATTTGTGTGAGCAATGGGGATGCATGTATCCTTGCACATATGGAGATGTACGTGCTTACGCATGCGCCTGCCATTCACACAGAAGCATCCCCCTCCTCCCCCCACTCTTTCAGTTAAAAAATTGAAAGAGACATTTTAACAACTCAGTGAAGGCAGGAATATTGTGGAGAATAACATTTCTAATTGGAAGAGTAAAACAGTAGCTTTTCAAACTGAAGCATTTAATGAAAGATCCCATATGGAGAACAACAATCAGGACTTAGTAATATGAAACCTGTTGCTGTTCTCATCAAGTCAAAATATGTTTTTGAAGATTTCTCTACATCTGTAGGTAATTATGTGTATTGCTGAATACTGATATTAAGCTGTTTTTATAATACTTTAATACTAGGTAAATTGACTCACAAATTAACTAATTTATTCCAGTTTTTAGAAACTTTAGCATATTGTAAATAAAAATGGCACAATAATTATGTCGAAAGAATTCTAAATGTTTAGTGTGTTCAATTTCTTAGAACTTCCCCAAATAAAATATGCATGCTGATACACTATATTACAGTGTGTTTTGACAAATTACTGTTTGCTCTTGAATGCTAAATTGGGTCCACAGACTTCCCAGGCTAAAATCCTATGATCATATAATGTGATAGCAACATTAATAATGATCAGAGAATGTTGATAGCAGTTGATTATTACCTAGCTAGCTATAAATTTCAGGGCTGCTTTCATCTACTCTCCGTCAGTAGACCTTTTAAAACAGAGTTGTGGTTTAAATATTTACTCATGAAAAAGCTGACTGTGGATTGTAAAAAGGCCATCAGAAAGTTAAAAGGACTTTCTAAAAGGAGAATAAAAGGCAAAAGAAGAGAAATCACTTATGTAAACATTTATGATAAACACTGAATTCTGTATCATTCAGTAATAGCAAATAATGCTATGGCATATGTTGAAATGGAATCAAGAACAAATAAATCTGCAGAAAATAAAGGAAGCACTTCTGAATACTGTATATTATATTCTGCTAGATACAATATACATATAATTTTCAGAAATTTGAAGGACTGGAAAAAAGCATGTAAATATAATCTTAATTATAAATTTAGAATAAAAAAGTAAAATACATCAATCAGCATGAAGTACAGGTAGTCCTCGACTTACAATTCAGCTCAAAATTTATGTTGCTAAGTGATAAATTTGTTAAGTGAGTTTTTCCCCATTTTACGATCTTTCTTATCACAGTTGCTAAGTGAATCACTGCAGTTGGTAGATTAGTAACACGGTTGTCAAATGAATCTGGCTTCTCATTGACTTTGCTTATCAGAAGGTTACAAAAGATGATCACATGACCCAGGGACACTGCAACCGTCATAAATCTGAGTCAGTTGTCAGGCATCTGGATGTAAATCATGTGACCATGGGGATGCTGCAGTGGTCATTAAGTGTGAAAAACGGTCATAAATCACTTTTTTCAGTGCTGTTATAACTTGGAATAGTCACTAGTTGAGGACTAGTGGAAGTCGAGGACTACCTGTACAGCTAGTCCTTGACTTATGATCACAATTGGGATCGGAACTTCCATCACTAAGTTAGGTGGTGGTTAAGTAAGACTCGTCCAATTTTAGAATCATTTTTGTCAAATTCATTATAAGCAAATCACTGTGGCTGTTAAGTGAACCACATAGTCATTAAACAAAACTGGCTTCCATAATTAACTTTGCTTGTCAGAAGCCAACTGGGAAGGTCACAAGTGGCAATTATATGACCCTGGGATGCTGCAAACATTATAAATACTTGCTGGTTGCCAAGCAGCCAAATTTAGATTACGTGATCACGGGGAAGATGCAACTATCATGAGGACCATTGCTAAGTCCTTTTTTTCCAATGCTGTTGTGACTTTAAATGGTTGCTAAACAAATGATTGTAAGTTGAGGACTACCTGTATATTTACAGTTACTATTTCAGGAGAATAATAAGTTCTTAGCTCATGTGAACATGCAATTTAGATCACTGCTAAGACTTTTTGTTTTTTTAATTAATTTGCCTCAGCAAATTTTACAAGACACTACAAAAAACAGAAAATACTTTAAATACTGAATCAGCAACTAACTTTTTTAAAAAAACCAAAACAACAACAAAAGAGAAACTAATTATATATATCACATATTCATCAAATATCAAACTAATTTCTAATTCTACGTTTTTAAAAAAACATGGTTCTCTAACATGATCAAATATCACAACATTTATGCCAAAGGAGAACATATTGAATCAATTTTTTCATCACTAGATAAAGTAGCTAGATGAAATATGGAAAATGTATTTCTACATTTGGAAGATGCACACGCCTAAAAACAGCCTTTTAAGAATGGAGTTGTTTTAAATCTGGAGGATTCATAATAAGATGTAAGATTTAAAGTAACTTTCCATTTACATTTTGTCTCAATAGTAATTTGTGGTCTTCATGTCCAGACAAACATAAGAAACTGGTAATGCCTAGAGCATAGAGCTAATGCATTTATCTGGTCAGAGCCAGTAGGCAGAAAGACAGCTCAAGGGATATTAGAGATGAAATATTGCACTTGTATAATAAATACAAATTTATTAAAAACATAACTGCTGTTTCTTTTCTGCTCTTTATAACAGAGAATCTAAAACTGTGATATTGAAGGCATTATCATATTACTTTTAACTTAGCATATGGCTATAGAGGCAGATGCCAACTCAGTATACACTAAGATATTGATTAAAGGAATTGAACTGCTTCCTTGCTGACCATAATTTGGCCCTTAAACATTTGTTTAATAAATTCTGTTCCAGGATCCTCTTATGTTCCTTCTATTTCTGGTTTTATTTTTCAAGGAAATGGGATGGGAATCGTTATTTCATTTTTTACCACATATAGTGATTGCAATATATTGTATGAAACAAAACAAGTTTCTAGACTTACTTAATGAACTGTGTCTTGATTTTGATTATACCAGTATTTCTTTAATGAAGTTCCGGTTTACCCCGGCCAGTTTTTTAAAATATCACAATTAGTTTATTCTCTACAAAAAAAAAATGACATTTGGGCATGTTCAGCAAGGGATTTAAAAGCTGCATTTTTTTAATGTGTTGACCCCAGTAGTCAAAAATACTTTTTACTAACCTTATTGTTAACTAGGCTCATAAGTTGGAGATACCTTCCTATAATTGAGCTTGTCTTGGAAAACACCAATCTCTGATCAGCTGTTCTGCAACTAGCACCATGGCAATGGCAATGGAGCTGGCAAAGCTGGTTCTTAAATATTTACCCACACAGCACTAGATAGCTCTTAAATTAATGTACATTTGGAACACAGATTATTTTCCATATGGAGCGCAATGGCTCAGTGGTTAAAGATGCTGAACTTGTCATCTGGAGAGCTGACAGAGGGGTTCAAGACCCGAGGTCTGCACAACGGAGTGAGTTCCCGTTACTTGCCCCAGCTCCTGCCCACCTAGCAGTTCAAAAGCATGCAAATGTGAGTAGATTAATAGGTACCACAAGGCTCAAGGTTGTCTCAGC